TAAATTACTATTATATTACCACTGACACTAACAAAGTGACAATCCCAGTATAAACCAGTGTAATGTCATTATATGTCATATCAGTGATAGTATACATGTTCAACAAGTTTTGTTGTCTGTATGAGCATACATTTTGATCACAGTGCAAATATCAGAATGAACAGAGTCAGTGAATCAGCAACATAAAAACCATTTTACTGATGTTATGTAATGTTACTGATTTTGTTTTGTATTGTTTTGCTTTTTCTAATTTCTCAGAAGATGTTGATGATGATACTTGTGGAGTAAAAAGCATGATATATGTTAATGTTGTTCTTAACAATAATGATGGTTAAGTTACACTATATAACATATACTACTGTATCTGTTTATTCATCAAGCTCTACTTTTATTGTCTTTTTTGGGAGAGGAAATCTGAATAAATTATTAACATACATCTATCTTGCCTAACTCATGTTTACTCATCCAGATATGTAGTCAAATAAGCGTTTATATATTTGGTGATGCTTTTTATTACAGATATAATCCATCGCTTTCAGATACAGCAGGATATGTTGTGATGTCAAAGATAACAGTCAGATTGTATCTGATCGTTTTAGATTGCAAGGCCTTAATTGAGATTATCACACACTCTACCATATAAATAAACCACGAAATGCCATATCAAACATAAAAGAAAAGATAAGATAAAGCAGAAAAAAACTAACACTGAATAATGCAGGATTAAGTATTTTTGTAAAGTGGTAAACTTCCAAAATCTAGTACTGATATGATATAAGTTAAGTGGATAGAGCTTTATATAAGTGACATGGTTATCAATTCATGATATACATCCATGCTGTACAAAGAAGAAGATGTTAAATCTCTGTTGATACAGCTGGCCTGCATTTGAGAATCTAGAAATCTGTTCTACATAAAGAATATAATAAATAAAGACAACTCTAGTATCTAATAGATTTCATTATTCATGATATGTAGAGAAATGAGTTGGTGGAACCATAATTCGTATCATTAATACGGAATTAAGAAATAGATTTAGCTAGATCAACTTATAATATAACAAGATACATACTAACAAGTCGAATAAATACTGAAATAAATTTACAGAACAAAGAACAGTATAAAGATTAATGGTTCAATATTAATAAATTGTCTATATGTAAATTTATTCTTTATATGGTACACAGAATAACAGAAGCATGTAAGAGCAGTCTGTGTGGTAATTAATTTGAGTAATTATTAATAATATTTAAGACAGTTATTGTCAAATACTAATGTTAAATAATACTATGCATATTTTTCATGTTAGATTTATCTCAAACATTGTGTCTGCTCTTCATCTTCTATGTGAAGTGCATGTGGTGGCCCAACACCTTACTTATACACCTTATATTGTTCTGTCTGTAAGAAGGGTTTTATACCGGAGTTATTCCTTCGAGTCATCACAGAAGAGTGAAAACCCGTATTAAAAGAGGTTAAAGACAGTTGGAGTACACAATATTACTTGCATGGGGACACTTTTCCCCTAAAGCATCAGTAACCACTGTGCCGCTAATAAGAAAAAACAACACAACATACAAACTTTATTTTAAAACTGTGCATTGTGATTTATTCTATAAGAATATACTCCAGTGATTTAATGTTGCTCCTCTGAACAGTTGTGGTACAACAGAGATATCCTGACTTTGCTCTGAAATCATCCTGGATCCTACACTTCCCATAATGCAACTTGATAACATCCTTCATTAGACCGCCTTTGCCTAGTTAACATTAACATCTTTCAATCTCAACACCTCCAGTTGCACACTTTTCTATTATACGTTTGTAGTCCAAACTCTCGGTGAGAATTCACAGGCTGAGTAGGACGAACCATCACCAGTAAACATGAAATGAGACACAATGAGATGTGAATGTGGTCAGTAGATTATATTATTCTCTTTAAAAAAAGACTTCATTACAAGAATCGACTTCATTCATTCAGACATAGTTAAAGTCTTTACACGTTCAGTGTTCGAAATACTGTTTATCACTAACTGCATAACAACGTGGAACCAGTGCATTCTGGTCAGAGATCAGACAGACGTCACCTGCTGTGTGTGTTCATGGTCAGTAACGAGTCAAATGCAGAAGACGCCTCAGTACAAAAACATGGCGAGGAGCTCCAGAAACTTCCAGCTGTCGGGGTTTATTTATTTTACAATACCAGGCGTGTATTGATTTAAAGTCATCCCTGTTGAACGTTAAAATCACACAGATTGAGAGGTGGGGCTTATTGTTCCTCTTCATTTGAGTAGGAGGAGTTAAATCTGTCTTCAACAGGCTCTTCTCTTTTTGTTCATTAATAAATCTAATTCACAATGTTTAAGTAAACACGAAGAGTGAAATCTCTCAGCAGCTATCGGAAGCGTTGCCCTGAAGTTTAGTTCAGAAGTTTGTGATCCCCAAAGGACGAACACCAAAGACTGGTGATCCTCGAATCAAAGTTTTCACAACAGTTTAGTTCACAACCAGATACTTTGAAAAGTAAAACTGTCCTCCCAACAGCCTCAGCTTGAGATCAATACTAAAAAGGCATGCTAACATGCTAAATGTTACATGATAACATTAATATGTTAACATCCAATATTTGTGTTCATATGCTCACTGTATGTAACTGATGAGCTGAGATGACAGAATATAGCTTAGACTGATGAAAGCTGAGCTGATCCTGACAATGTAGAGCCGAGCTAAAATTGCCACCGTACAGAAGATTTAGAGAAGATGACCTTAACTCTAGCACCAACCCTTTACATCTTAGCCCCACGGGAGAGAAACCCACTCGTTTCCTGGATTCATCAAGTTGAATATTCAGGTTTATCAAAGTTTCTCTTGGACAATCAGATCAGAATGAATCAGACTAATGAATTCATCTTTTTTCTTCAAACTGTCTTTAAAGAGTTCTTCACTGTTGGTTAAAAGATTAAAGCATGTTTCACTACGCCCAACAGTGATGTCAGAGTGTACTGGAGTACACCTGTACATCACACAGATATTCACAGGTTGTTCAGGTACTCTTTAAGAAACACATAACCATGAATGAAAGACATGTTGAAACAAGTCATTACTCTAAAGTAAAACATCCCAGATTCAGTTTGACTCAAATATCTGTAAACTGACTAAATAAACTGCAGTTTGTTATAAAAAGCTAAATTTTGTTAAATCTTTACAGAAACCAGTTTGGCATTGAAGCTTTCATGATAAAATTAAACAACAGAAAAACAGAACAGAAGTTTACCAAGGCAAGGAGACACTCGACACCTACCGATTAAAGCTCCGCTAATCAATATTCTGATATAAAAATGGGTGAAATTACATTCATCAGGTGGTCACAAACATGACTCCAACTGGATGACATCCTCTGATGTGTAAACAAGCAACTCTTTGCTAATAACAGCGCTATAAAGGTGATAATGTGTTAATGTGTGTGTTCTGCTGCCTACAAGAGGCCAAAAACTCACCTACTAATCCAGATTTATACTATAACCAATACTGCATTTTGTTTAATAAGTGAGATCATAAATCTCAGCGTTATCAGTCATGATTCCAGTCTCTGCTACAGCAAACATGATGTAGTATGATCCGTCAGTGTCTGTTCACTGATACTGTGTGGCTGTCCAGGCAATGTAAATGCATAGTGAGTCTAAACAGCAGTGTTCATATCAACTCTAACCCCACTTCCCCCCAAAATACACTTCACATTAGTCCCTCCACCATCTGACAGACAACCAGCCCAGGTATATCAACCCCCTCCCTCTGCGCTCTCTATTAAAGCAGTGACTATTACCATCCGCCATATTAGCGTTGGATGTTTTTTCCTGCAGCTCTGACAGAAGTTTAAACCTTCCTGACGGGCCAGGCTGCTGTTTGATAGATCTGATTGATGGACGGTGCAGCCAAGCAGGGCTAAAAAACGAGTCCAAATTAATTAATAAAAAGAGAAAGAAAGAAAATCCTTCTGTTGTTCCTCTTTCCCTCCACGCTTCCTTTCGTTCCCTCTCTTTCTGGCACAGTTTGGGTGTTCAGGCGAGTTCGTATAAAAGGCGCTGGGCTTTTTTTCTCTCCTCCACCCGGTGCTACATGATGATACGTGGCTCTGGGACCGACTCGTTGATGGACTTGTGAGGCAGGACGTTGGCGCCGTTCAGGTAAAGCTCGTCGTTTACGATCACGTCCTCCCCCAACACCGTCACATTCTCCATACGAACCTGAAGACACAGAATGACCCAGAGACAAGTCGTCATTACACTTAACAAGAATCAGGACGGAGGAAACATCACTGCTACTGATTCCTGTAGCTGAGCTGTAACTGAGTAAACTGAGTAATGTACGTAAAGGATTTAACAAACAATAATATAATAATTTTGAATATATTCACCAAAGGTTATACATTTTAAAAACTCAGGTCCTGTTCTGTTACAGCTGCTCCCACAATAAACTTATGGAAATAATGGAATTGAATGGAGGTTTGCTAATTCATAATCATAATCTCAAGTCACTTCTGCTGGGTTTAATTTCACCACAGTTTCCACATGTAGACGTTGGAGGTCATACAGCATTAATATGTTAAAGGGATGGTTCAGGTTTTTTGAAGTTGGGCTGTATGAGGCATTTATCTAATGTCTGTACCTGAATTATACGGCGGTCAGCGTGCACCCAGTTTGGAGAAGCAGACGGGAGTACGAGCACGGAAGTTACACAATGCACTGAACATACAACAGCCACCTTAAATCTAAAGCAGAGTGGATGCTATATTTATAATGTTTTTGCTACTTGACTTTGCCGTCAGACAAGAAACTGAAGATGTTATCGCTCTCTCTTTAAAGCCACCAGACTCCTTTAACAAAAACAGTCATTTAACTTTGCAGAACACAGGAGTTGTTGGTCCGTAAGCGCCCCGATCAGTTAGTTTATTTGTGTTACTGTCTGACTACCCATAACTGTTTCAGTTGATGACAACATAAAGCGGTTAAAATATTCTAAATATAGTGTACATTTAGACTTATTGCTGTTTTTTAGGTGGCTAAAATATGTTTTTGAAGCAGCCCCCCAACAGCTCTGCTTCCTGTCTGCTCCTCTACTGTCTACTGTAGCTATCAGTAAACTACACTGACTACGGATAAGTACCTCATACAAACCTGAACTATTCCTTTAATGTTTCCTTTTATTTCATTTTAGTTCTAATACAGACCTTCATCTAACACAAACATCCCTGCTTTCACCCTCAGTGTGTTCTGCTCCATTCTGTACCGTGCAACAACTAAATCCACCACCAGATTTGCTTGGAAAAGATTGGTGACCTCTCACTTACCCACTGGCCAACAGAGGAGCTCCACCCCACGATGCAGCTCTCCAGCCAGGAGTGCGACCGAACCCGCGCTCCCTTCATCACCGTGCAGCGTTTTATCCTCACCCCGTCCTCCACAACCACGCCGGCACCGATGGTGACATTCGGGCCGATGGTGCAGTTCTCCCCGATCTGCGCTGTCGGGTCCTGCAGAGGAACGTGAGGAATGTAAGATTATCACTGAGTACGGGTTCTTTCAACTGGGGGACCAACAGGGGTCGATGAGTGGGTTTTAAGGGGTCCACAGCAAAAGGAGTAACAGAATATTTTATCACCTTTTTTGGAAGGGAACTAGACCACTGTCCATTTTGACTCATTGTAATTTATATTTATAATATTTATATTCATTCATTGACTATAAAGACTTTATCATAACATAAAGGGAACCTCTGCTTTATTTGACATTTAGCTCCAATGAGCTGAACTCACCACCAGAACGTTGCCTAGGAAACCGGGCCCCGTGTGTAGCCTCTCAGGAGCGTGTTGTCGTACCGACTGAAGGTACATACACATCCCTGTCAGGAAGTCTTTAGGCTGACCGATGTCCATCCAGAAACCTGCAGACAGACAGACAGACAGACAGACAGACAGACAGACAGTGAGAGCAGTTCATTACCATGGAAACTCAGACAAAAATACAGGAGTTTCCTTGTGGTCTGTCTGAGGTTGAGATACTGAAGAACGAGGACACTGACTCCACTGATTGTCACCCCCTTCAAAAGGACCATACCGGTGTTTTTTTAAATTCCCTCTATTATATTTTACCTTACTGACACCATTTTATCTGGTTTCCTGCTCACAACTGCATTGAGTATCCTGACTGCTTTGGGGTTTATATACTGACTATATAACTGCAACGTCCCTTCAAGTTGTCCTTTCCAATAGCCGTAGTAAAAGTAGTAGCATGAAACAAAACAATTAAGTAAAAGAACAAATTAAACCAGGAAATTTAATTTAGCATGATAATTTTGTAGCTAACAGAGTAATGTAAGCTATCTATCTTTTTCTTTGTGCTTTTTTTTTAGTTCAGTAACTTCTGCAGGAAATCACAAGAACCTTTTGTCAATCTCTCACAGTTTAATAAGAGCTTCTCAGTGTTTCACCACAGACTGGGGGAAACAAAGCCACTACGACCTGGACTAGAGTCAGTGACTCGTACTAGTCCGCCTGCTTGGACTACAGGATGGGAAGGAAGGTGTAACTGCTCAGCTAGATGCTTCAGTCACAGTGGGTCGCTCCCAGAGAGGGATGAGGATCTAGAGATGCACCGATTCCAGATTCCCTCTACAGATTTGGATCACAGCTGGTTCTGATCTAATATTTTCATCTGAACACTACAGAGTTCAGACTGTCTGTGGATGAAGACTCATTAAAACTATCTGGAAACAGTCTTGTCTTCTTCAGATAACTTTTGTTGGCATCGGTGCTTCTCTACAAACGATTCCTCTCCAGAACTACATGAGTTCAGGTGTGAAGAAAAACCCCCAAACACTTACGTCTGGTAGAGCTGTGAGCTGTGAGACCAGAACGAAGACACAGGTCAACTTCTCACAACATATTCCCACAATCATATTACCATTGACTTTCTTACAGATATAAAATGAATCACTGGGAACACGGTGACAAAGTTAGATGAGGAGATTGATAAAACTTAACCAGTAGGCAGCTAATTTAGCTTAGCATTAGAGTGAAAACAGGCTGGCTCTGTCTCGTTTGTTTAATTTGTAAAAACAAGTATTTCTTGAGGATCAGGAGGCCTTATTTATAAAATGTTCTTACTAGAACCTTTCTTACGCAGGTTCTAAAATGCCCATTTGTAATAATTTACCTGTGAATTATAAACAAACTAACTTAAAATTGACAGTGCCTGACCAACAATGAGCGATTTACCCTCACCTTTACAACAGTGAAATTAAAATATTACCCATTTTTCTGGGGACCACCTAGAATCCCCTCAAGGCCTCCTGTAGGTCCCTGGACCCCAGGTTGAGAACCACTAATTTAGATAAACTGGATAAAGTGTTTGTTTACAACCTGTCTGACTTTTTAATAATGTCACTGTGCTATCTGTAGTAAATTAAAATAATCCTCTTACATGGACAAAATTAGTGCTGAAACAATTGACACGAAAATATTTGTCAACAATTCTGATAATAAATCGACAGTTTCAGTCATTTATCATGTTAAAATATCAACTCTTTGTTTTCAGCTCCTCAACTGTGAGAATTTGCTGTTTTTTCTCTGCTTGATTCTGAATTGTGAACTATTTTCTGACATTTTATACACGAGACGATTATTCAGTTAATATGAACAATAACGGGAAGATTAACTGATCAAAAATGTTTGTTACATGCAACCATAAAGAGTAGTAATAGTTACCCTGTAGCTCCATTGCGTACAGCTGTCCCTCTTCTGCCATGACGGGAAATATCTCTTTCTCTATGGATGTCGGTCTCAGCTGCACAGACACACAAGTGACAAACATATGATTAAATGCTGGGACTATGTATCAATATGTACAGTAACATGTATCAATATAGTGAAATATTGTCAGTGTGTGTGTAGAGTCACCTGGATCCTTGCGGCATGGCTGGGGATGAAGATGAAATGCCGGCGGTTGAATCTTATGGCACAGAAGACCTCGTTTCTCAACAGAGCTGATGTTATCCTGCCGCTTTCGGTTCTCAAAACACACCAGCGCCGTTACTTTTAGAGGCCTCCCCACCCGGTGTACCTTTCAGCACACACTACACACACACACTATGTGTTCACTGCAAATATACTT